CGCTGTTGAAGCTTTCGTCCGTAGGATTACCTCTTCGGTTCCGGCTATCGCGAAGGGTAACCAATCCTTGGAACTCCCTTCCAGCTGACGTGGTGGAAGAGGTGAATGATAAGATGTTCAAGAGGAAGCTCGACAGCGTCTTGCGAACAATGTGGTATGCAGATCTATCATGAATGAGATCTTCGAGTCTGTGGTGATGAGGCTCATACGGGAAATTACCCTCTGCCTCTAATTGAAGAACATTGAACAATTCACTGATCATAATGATGGTGATGATGGTGATCACGATGCGGATGATCATGGGGAATAGGACTTGGAGCGGTGTACTCGACTACATCCGGGGCTGTTTCAATGCCCAGTCATCAGAAGATGGTACTAGGCCGTGAACTTCCTCCTGGGTCACATAGGTCCTGTTAGGCTCCCTGAATGTGGACCCGAAGATCATAGTAACCGGTAGTTGGAGACACTAAGTGATGTGGCTGGATGTCGCTAATAGTGGCGCTCGTGAATCTGCTCATTATTCTTCCAATCACAGTCCAAATGAACTCTATATCCTCTTCTTGAATTCGCTCTCGACATTCCCGCCTTCACTCTGCTCTTTGATCCGAATGGGCGGCCAAAATACAGCATCCGAAACCGGCGCATTGAATGCATGGGTAATTATTGTCAAAATTAAAACTGAAACATCCGACCTCCTTGATCCGGGGTTCGTCTCTAGCCTCTACACGCCCTGTTTCACCCTACAAGTCAGTCCACACGAACCGATGGCTTATTGTGCTGTGTCCACTTCTTCTTCTGGATTACTATTTCAGCGAGATAAAATAAGATTGAAGCAAACTCTGCGAGGTGAATCGAATGCATGAACGGCTTTTCAAACCTCACATTGTTAGTCTCAAGCTGGTGCGTACATATCATTCCCGATGCAGATAGAATCGTGATTACCCTGAGAGTAGTGAGTGCAAAATGGTCACCACACGCACAAACTACACATACGTAGAGAAATGTGATGGTATTCTGCAGACGTCTTGTCGTTACACATTCGCAGTTTTGTTGTTCAAACTGCTCTCAATTTGTCTGCTCTGTGGCCGCCTCCGATCGCTCGGTCATATCTTATATATGCCCCGTGTTCTCTTTGCACGTGCTGGGAAGGTTGGAAGAAGGTTCGCAGCGGTTAGACCATGACATGGCGTCGAGGTATGAAGGAATAAGCCTCAGCATTGGCTTCAGTTGGTGCAGCTCGCCTTCCTGGCTGGGATCCTAGGGCTAAAGATTGCAGATCGCTAGAGACGCTAAGAGATGTGGTTCAGAATAGACATCAGTAGCGCGATTGCTGTGCGGTTTGTTTGGTGAACCCCCTTCCCCATAACACCAAAAAAGGTGTACTGTGAAACCATTAAAAAATCATTCATTTATTCATTCGTTCTCCGTGTTCTCTGTTTTCTGCATTTTCATTTAATCTTTCTATACCCCCTCCAGAACATCATTATCATTGATTTGCATTGGCACTATGCTTGTTTTCAAGCCGGTGTAAAAAAAACTGCTCGGTGATAGCGCAGTGTTTGAAGCCGATCACTTTGGTTATCACGATTCTAATTGTGATGCATCCAATTAGGATTTCTGCGGTCGCTAATTTCACTCATTTCCGGATGCCGAACATACTGGCACATGTCATACTGTTCGTGATTTGCTAACTACCCCCTCCCTACACACCGTAGTACACGGAAAACAAACACTACATGCTTTCGTGTGTGTGTATGTGCGAACAACACGTACGGTTTGTTTCATCACCCATGTACCAACCACCCGGGGTCGACGCACAACCATCAACGATCACCTATGTATGTGTCTTGTGTAACGCAGGTTGTTCTGTGCGGGGTCACAACGGTCACAATAACGTATCACCCGCATATGATACTGACTCACCGATTGGCATTCAGTTTAAGACCTAGACACTGTCGCTGCTGCTGCTGTCACTGTACCAGCTGATTTATCTGTTCTCCTAGCCACATCTCTTCATTGTCACTGATACCCTGTTGCTCATACTGATTTAGAGGCCATTAACACGCAGTAGTCATAATCAGGATTTCCATCTGTTGACTGGATTGCAGCGCCTCATATCAGAACTCGACAAATCCACATGTTGACCGTGAAATGCACTGTTCAAACAGTCAGAGGGTTGTTAGGATACACAAACTCCTATACAATGTTTGTGTATTTCATGCGGATCATGTGATTCACAGTGGCAGTCCGTCTGGACTTCCGTTCGCCCGATTTAGAATGGTCTCTTTTCAATCAGTTTAATCTGAGTATGGAGAATTCCGTTAATTAGCCAGGATGTTCTCTAATTAGGCTTTTCGGGCTCATATTATACCATGTGTTCGTTATGTGAAATCAGGCGACGTTGTTCTTTTACCGCGATCGCAAACTGCGTTACTTCTTCGGTTAAGTTCTTAGCTCCACCACTGTCATGCTTTTCTGTTATTAATCATCCTTGTTTCCCCATCAAACTCGGGTCTTGCGAATCTAACTGCATTGCTGCCTTAGCACCATATCGGCAAACGCCGCCCGAGTCTCAGCATACGTGCCGACACTTGATCTGAGATCTGTCCGCCAGGTAAGACGTACCTGCCGAAATAGCGAATTGTTTTCTACTATCTCTTGTTTTTTCTCATTAAAGGTGAGACTGGGATCCGGACCTGCCATGCCCGGTTACACATGTCGCACGCAGTCAAGGTAACACTGAAACCATTCAGAAAACATCATTTAGCAACGCAGCGCTATCTGCGTAATTCAGATCAGACAAGCTGCTGCAGATTCGAAATTCGGTGGGGCTTATATCCAACTCGGCCATGTGATCTAAACGCCCGTGGTGGGAGCTCTCATGTAAGGCCCTGGAATTTCGGTATCGTGGTTTATTTACTGATACGTTGCTTATCGACCAACCGTTCTAGAGTGACCCTGGACCTCATACACTAAATGAAACAGGTGGGCCGCGGATGGGGTGGCATGTGTTTGATCTGCTTTGGTCAGCTTCCGACGGCACGGGTATCATCCAATGAAGCACCGTTTGGCAGAATGCCTCGGTTATCCCACTGCTACGTCCGTCTATCGAGGTTTTTTCACCAGAATACTGCACCTCTTTGTGTTTATTCGCTGGAGTGGCAACGCCAGCGTAGATAGCTTACGGGTACAAGAAACGTTAGGTGGTGCCCAACCGACTAACCTTGTGATTTGCGTTCTAGCCATGATTTGATTAGTGACTGTGGGAATCCATCCTGTGTGGCCCGCGGGTTCTTCGAGGTACGCTGGCGTGTCACCCCTCTCTTTGTACAGTCACATCATGACGGATCAATTGGCACGATACAGACTATCTAATTTTCGCAAGCTTATTATGGACATCTGACCTAATGCAATTCCGCATTCAGATCCGTATTTTCATGAGCTTGACACGGACCGATTACGATTTCAATTTTTGATCTTTATCTAAGAAATTCAAGTATCCTAATTTCAAATTATGCTTTTCATGTTCTCTATATACTTCTTTGCTATATTATACGAATAATCTGATCCCGTCTTTGATGAAATCTGCTTCGTAAGCTTCTCTTTTCTCATCG